GAGTGTGTGTGTGACGGGAGTAGGTTGCACTGCGAGGGCATTTAGAATGTAGGACGGAGCTGGCCGGCTGGATTGGAAGGACATGCGTTTGTGGTGATGAGCGGCGGAGTAGGAGGGGCAAGGGATGTGTGTGAGGCGGGGAGCGATGATGCCACGACGGCCAGATGGGTAAACGGCTGGACAGAATGCAACGGAAAGGATGGCAATGAGCGCGCGGAGGGGAGCGGGGAGGTCGAATGATGATAGGCAACGGAATGGGTGGTGCGTGGCGGAGGGGGGGGGAGAGAAGGTGCTCGCGGCGACGAGATTTGGGGTGGGACGGTGAGTTGGGTGGAGCGCAATGGCATGCATTCAGGTTATCAAGAGGTGGGGGGCGGGTGAAAACGGGAGAATGAGCTTCTGCCAGTGGGGACGACGGGGCGGTTGGTTGCGCCAGGATATGTCATGGTAAGTTGAAAGGGGATAGGGGCTGGTGATGGAAGTGGCGAACAATAGCAACGGAGCTACAGATGGGATCCTCAGCAGGATGGATGGCATGCGATGGTGCGGAGCGGTGTATGTGGTGGGAGGAGTGGGAAAGGAGAGAAGGAGGCCTTGTTGAGCGTCAGTTTGAGTTGAACAATACAAGCGTTGGGCGGCTTCGTCATGTATTGCGGGTAGATATGACGGCGGGGCTCTTGGTGTGTTTGGTGGGGTAGGCCACTCTGTTCATTAAATGTCGACCTTTGTTCTTTTTGTGAAGATGCCTTTCTACCACGGAGTGGTAGAACGGCTTCCCTCCTCAACGGTTAAGAGGGCGCCTGCCTCTGGATTGTTTTTTGCCACACCTCGCCTAGTATGAATCTATATGGAGATGTATGCATGGATCCTACTGGTGAGATATGCTTTCCTGCGGGCTGTTTCGTTTGCCCCTTCTTCGAATTATGTTTTATAACACTGCCCACCGTAGACTACTTTCGTGCGGTTGGCTGCTATTATCATAGTCATTGTGTCTGTCGATGCGCGCATACAATGCAGCAGGTGGATGAGGTTTGGCAACGCAAGGCCCATAGAACGCGTTGAACTGACCTGTGCGTGGACCAGCGTCACGGTTAGCGCCAGACCCATTTTGACATCGACCTCTGTTTGGCTATGGCTGTTGCTTGGACTGTTCCATGTATGTGCTACATCATGTCACTCTCTTCGTATATTGACTTGGGTCACCCGGACCGGGTAGCCGCCGACAGCAGTCATTAGCTGAAGCGACGTAGGTGCTTGGGACTCAGCAAGTACTTCACCGCAAAGAAAGTAAAAGGATCTGTCTGCCTCGTCGTAGTTCCACAGGAGCCTATGAGCACATGCAGGGACATGGTGTGCAAGTAGATGCGCACCCGTACATACATGCTCATGCTCGAAGTCCACTCCCTCCTCACAATGTCTCCTCTCCTCGCAGACGGGGTAAATCGAATTTGTTGTTCAATTTTTTATTGTCAATCGACTGGGTAGCATTACGTGAGGATAAACTTAAACCCCAACCAATTGACCACCCTATCAAACCCGGGTCTCGGGTCGTGGCGATGAAACAACCAAAAGCCGAGCCCCCGGCTTTCCGCAAGAATATAAAAACGAAAGATAGGCAAGCCTCCTAGGAGACGAAAAGAAACACAGAGAGGAACGAAAACAAACGTGACTTCCCGATGTCCGGCGTTCAAAGACATAGAGAGGAACCGGATGGGCGCGGGAGGGTGTGTGAAGCGCACCCGCCCTTGCCTGGGTCAACCCGAATCCCTCACACTACCGGCACGGCGTTTTCTCCCTCAGCCATGTCTCTACTGTATGCATTCATTCATCACCTTCGCTCCGAATTACCTATTATTGTAGGGGAATCGAAGCCCCCTTGCAAAGCAACTACATCATCAACAGTACTAGTCATCAAAACGCACCTAACGACAGGGGCGAGCGAGACGCACGTGCGTAGGCACCTCGCCGATCTACGGCATGCATTCCCTTCCCGTAGCCCCTGTCATGAATCAATGCCACCGACCCGCGCGTCCTTTCACGCACACCAAGAAAGCACACCAGCGACGGGTATCGAGGCCCAAAAATAACAAATCAAAACAAAACGTATATCATCAAGCTCTCTCGCACAACCAATCAACCATATCAACCCATTCCATTCAATGATAAGAAACGCGAACCTGAACTGAATAAACTTACGCCGTGGCGACGGACCACTGCCTGACATAACAACAATAGCTACAGCAGCAGGGCACGACCACAAAATGAAACGACAAAAGATGTTAACGATACTACAATATATAAATAGAAAAAATAATAATCAGGCAGACCCCCCTTGTAGTCCCAACCCTTGTGCGAACCGCGGATCAACTGCGCAATCTTCTTACTTCTACAATACGGCGGCAATCCCTTCAGGTGAATATAGGCTTAGGCTTCGATGAAACCGTGCATTCTATCTCTCTTCTCTCAGGAATCGGCACACCCTCCCCCGCTCACCATACATGCTGCTGCTGTTGCCGCAAGGATAGATAGGGCATGCTGCGCTACAGGGCGGGAACGGGTAAGCTGGACCAACTCTATGTGTTCGTTCCTTGCACGGGGGGCACGCGGTGAACACCAACCCAACCTGGCCCCCGCATCGTACTTCGTACAAACAGATGAGAAAACTCCATTCCGGTTCAATCCAACCCCCTCCTCCTCCTCCTCCTCCTGCTGCCGATCTACACGCTGGGGCAGGCGCACGAGGTGATTATCTAAGCTATCTATGCGGATCGCCGCGACTCCACAGCTGACGTGTTACAAGCTAAGCTAGTTTCACAATCTAGGATAATCAACACCGTGTGATATGATGCAGGGGTAGGGAGGTAGTACAAAGTTGATGGCCTTCTCTGCATTCGAGAAAAGGCCCGCACGTGGCAAACACGCCAACAACAAAAGGCGCAAGCTCTCCGTTTCTTTAGGTATGCTCGCCCCCCCCCACGGACCGTGAAAACAACCCCAACCGCCCTTGCTAGCGAAGAGATGCCGCGGCACAACGTCCATCAGATATCGATTGACAAAACGTTTTTCGTAGAGCGCACGAACACAAAGAATAAAAATAAACGGACTCTTTTTCCGGGAATATTTTCCGGACCGCGACGACAACGCGGAGTCGACGAGACTAAAAAAACAATGATCACAAACTGATGGTACTGAAGAACGAGCTAAGGGGTACCCTTTAGGACCACGTGTGTGCTACTAATGGTATAACGATGCACCCGTTTTAGTGAACTTGCATGTGCGCGTGCGGGGGGCCAACGTCACATAGGGCAGGAGCACAGCAAAAACTTACTCTAGGAATGACTGAGGTGACCGTCGTAAAAGAGTCGAGTTGGTTACGACCAACGCACAGCGCAGCGACAGACGATGACAAGCGGGGCAGCTGGTCGTTTGGTGTCACATTCCGCCCACAAACAAGACAAGATGCTCCAACAACACAAGCAAACCCGAAAATGGCGACTGGGATTGCTTCGCCCGCCCCGCCCCCACTAAAAATCCTACATCTGTTGCGCCGATTGTTGGCTGACAGAACATTCTCTACGCTGCCCTCTCACATACCGTCTTCCCCTCCCAAGGGGCCGAATAACCAAAGGAGGAAAACTGCCTGCCTGGCATGCGTTGAAATCACCTTTCAAGCCACCAGACAGAGATGAAGGGCCCCACTCCCAGCATTTTTTCGCGCCCATCCCTCCTCTCATGCTGCTTCTATGGCACGATTGATTCGAAGCACCAACTCGAAAACAGCTCTGCCGGTACCACATAGCGTCACCATCACATCACCAATAACAAGAAAAACTACACAGTTCCGCTGTAGTAAACCGTATCATCAAGTAGGGACCGACTGCCGTTCTCTTGTTAACTTACGTTTATTGTTCTCCTTGTTTGCTGCCCCCGCCTCCCCGGACGCGCAAGCGAACGTCAAAACAAAAAAAAACCAGGAAAAACCCAGTCCACACCAGCAGTCGAACAAAAGCAAGCCCTCATTATTCTGCGCCCTAAAAAATGAAGGGCTAGCGGCCTCGACATTGAACGGCACCAAAAACGGGTTCTCAATTTTCGGAAGATAAAGAAATAAACAGGTTGAGGTCTAACTAATCGACCGCTCAAAGCTGAGCCCCCCACCGACCACCTTCTAAAAACTCCCACCACCGACTAGAACGGAAAAGAAAAAAAAACGATTCCAATATACCAGAGTCGTTCACGGCACAGGTTTTTCCCAAATCGGGAAGAGCGTAGAGTTAGATACAACAACGACACGGGCGACAAAAACACAATGACACAAGCATGGATAACATGCACGAGCAGACAGGTGCAACGGACAGAACGCGCTCGCGCGTGCTTGTGTAAAAACAGCGCCAACATCTGCCCTCGTCTTCTTTCTCTCCCTCGTACCCACACAAAGATGATGCTCGCACCGCGAGCGCCGAAAAGCACACACTGATAATGCAAATGTAAGAGCCAGGTTAATGACTGAAAGATATCTACAGCATTAGAAGAGAGAAATTGGCATTGCAACAGAATGATGAGCAGAAACAGCGAGCCCTGGGGGATTAACAAAGCTGCTGCAGCTACCTACCGCAAACGCGATGCTTGGACGGATAGACCCCACCCGAACTTACGCGCGTAGCAGGAAGAAGAAAGAGCAGTGAGCCGGTCCGGTTCTCACGTCTCGCCTCTTCCTCCCACGGGGATTTACTCTCTACTCTCCTCTTTTTGTCGAAATGGACGCAAACCTACGTACTCCGTTCGCACGCAAACGCCACCTCACCCAACCAGTCACCTATCGCACAGCGAAAAAAATCAGACGGAGCACTCGCGCGTGCAACACCACGCAAGAACGCGCAAAACACCAAACTACCACTATTATTGCTACCCCCCTGGTGCCTGCAAAGAAAAAAGGGGGCCTGGTTGGCCGCCGACTGACATATTCTGGCGGCGTACGACTGCTGACCCACTCGCGCAGGTTAACACGCTTCCCGGATGCACAGGTAGAACCGCTCCGTGCTGCGTACAAGAATGGCGTCGGACGGCAGACGATCCGGGATCGGCACCGACGAAGCCAACGGCGCGTATCCAAAGTAATCCGGGTAGGGGATGCCATACTGGAACCTGTTTTTGGGCGGGAAGGGTGGCGCGGGGGCGGGAGGGGGTCACCATGCGGCCGCTAGAGCTACGTTCACACGCAAGCGAACGGGCGTTGGATTTTGTGCGCTTTTCTCGTGCTTGAACCAGCCAGCAAATGCGCACAAGCAGCATGGCTGCCTACCGGACGAAAGCCTTCTAGCATGGAGGGACTAGGAATTCTTCAAGATGCCACGGCCTGGCCTGCGACATGGTCCTGCTAAGGCATGAGCTCAATGTTCCCTGTTTTGTCTCCTCAAGAGAGCTGAAAGGGCGGCGCAGAGATATCACCAGCACGAAAAATAGTTCGCTCTACCATTGCAAAAGCGGCTTTGACTCACGTACTCCGATACGCGGGCTTTAGCGCCACCAGCAGCACGAGAGGTGAAATGCGACGGTGCGATGGACGAAGCAGGTGAATGTGTGCTGTCGTCACGTCACATCATGCACAGATTCATGTGATGTTGACAGCATACATCAAACGAACTCGCCGCGAGGAGAAAACCACGCCGTTCATTGCAACAGCAACCACGCAACCTCGCGACGGTAACAGCAGCAGCAGCAGCAGCAGCAGCCGCGCCACCACCAAAAGCCCCTGGGGCAGTACACTATATCACAAGCCCAGCACCCTGGCCACATCTCACCCGTCCGCCCGAAGAACGATCTGCTCCAGCCTGTCCTTCCTGGTGCGGTACTTGAGGGCCTTGTTCTGCGCCGCCGTCCCCAGGGGCTCCGCCATCACGGCTTCCCCGGTAGCCGCCGCCGCGACCTCCGCCGACCGCTGCGCGAGGTGAAGCGCTCCCACGAGCTGCGCCACCGTGGCGTCGCGGATGGCCAGGGGCACCGCGGCCGCCCACTCGTGCTCGGACTCGGACTCGGCCACCGCCGCCCGGAGGCTGGTGGCGGACACGCTCGAGTCCACGCGGAGGGCATCGACGGCGCGGTTGTGGATCCACCGGACGACGCCGAACCACTGTTGAGAGAGACGGGGGAAGAGGAAGCCAGGACGGACGGGCCGGGGGGGGGGGGGGGGTCTACTCAATTGTTGCTGACGTTAAGTCGTTTGATCATCGGCCACTCACCATCCCGTTCGAAACGGGAGACCGCGTTTTATTTCCGCCGGAGACACCGCCAACGTTCGGGGTCTCCTCGCGCATTTCTCCCCCAATTTCATGAAAAAACTTGGCGGTACCACGTGCTAAGCTGGGACACCTGTGCAGAGCCGGGCTTTGATCGGTGAGCCGCATGGCCGGTCGTTGATGATGTTGTGTTCTGTACTTTCGAGGCTTTCGAAGGACTTCTGTTGCCAGGGAAAAGAAGGAAAACACCTTAAAGTCTACATGAATGTTCTTCAAACGAGCGAGGGTCATTCGGGGGGGGGGGTTACGTTGCTGGTGCGGCGCGGCCGGTGGATGTTGGACGAGCGCTTCGCTCAGCCGAGGTCGTAAGCCACAAGTACAGGCAGCGTCTACACTTGCCGCAGAAGGGAAAATTGTGTGTTTCTAGTGACTCAAACTTGATGCCATCGGAGTATTTGACTCATCGAGTTCGTGCCGCGGACCACTGCTGCTGTTGCGGGAGGAGACGTGAGAAATTCAAGCGTGCCAACGATTCGCGGGCACTCTTATTCCAGCACAGAACAAACCGATCACACACACCCTCGAAACCCCTGCAGGAGCAGCAGTAGGGTGTACAATCACTCTTAACACGCGGAGGATGTCGGCGGTGATCCTTAAGGCCCGCTATCGAACCCTGAACACCAAACAAGTCGGCGCGACAACAACCGACGTACATTCCGAAATACACCTACCATTGAATGAGGTGGGCGCGTTCGCCCTGCCGTTCAGCAACTGAAAAAATCGCTATGGCGTATTCAGTAGTTCCACTTCAGGCTTCAAAACAAGCGAACACTCTCTCTTGTCGTGGGCACGAACGAAAACTCGAGGAAATCAACGCCCACCGCACCTTCTGCAGCGTCTGCCGTTGCTGCGCCGTGGGGAGCAGCTCCAACGTCTGGTAGCCCAAGATCTGGAAAGCGCAAGGCCCGCCTCCGCCGCCGCCTCCGCCGCCGCCGCCAGCCCCCCCGTAGAGGCTCAGGGCGGGCGAAGTGTCAGACTCGACACTCGACGATCGGCTCGTACCCGACCGGGCCCCCATTGTGGCTAGGAGTGACTGACTGTGAGCGTGGGGGTGAGGAACGCCGCCGCCGCCGCTGCCACCGCCGCCGCCGCCAGCGGCGGCAGCAGCGGGGTGGACGAATCGCTCGTGGGCGAGCCCCGGGGGGGGTGTCATCGGTAGCGTGGACGAAAGGGATGCGGTGCTCGCTATCGGGGCATGGTGGTGGTGGTGGTGGTGGTGATGGTGGTGCTCGATGGGCTGGTGGCCTGCCCCGCCGCTGACGCTGATGCTGCCGCAGCTGCTCGCGGTGCTTGCAGTGCTGCCTCTTTTCCATTGCCCGTGGTTGAGGGGGGGTGAGCCCGGGGACGGGGGGTCCTCGCTGGATGCCTGGGAGAAGCTAGAGCCCAAGTCGAAGTCCAAGCTGTCTTGCTTTCCTGGGTGACCTTTACGTCGACGAAGAGCCGAGGAGCAGCAGGGGTGTTGATTAGACTTGGGGTTGGTTATATTTTGACCTTCTTTGCGTCGACACGTGGTCCGTTTGCGGAGGGTTTCACACGTGTACTTGGCGGCATGCAGCAGATTTTGGTTTGATGTCTTTTTGTATGCATACTGCGAGTGGATACTCGAGACTTGGGCAGCTATGTACTGTAGCACGGATGCACACGTGTGTGTGCGCGCGCGATTGATTGAAAATAAAAGACAAGAAGAGCCCTTTGGTTGCTGGGCAAGTGCTCACTGTAGAGCGGGTCGAAGGTACAGAAGTACACCCAAACCGTGCCTGATTTGAGTTTGCGTTTTAGCTTACATAGAAGCTCTCTTTCTCTTCCGGGGTGTCCCCGTCTCCGTTATGTAATCCCTCCACCAAATTGCAACAACTGCTGTGCTATTTCCCCCATCAAATTTCACGAACGAACGTGAAGCAACGCTTCCAACGCTTCGACGAAAAGAGGCGACGACAAATAATGACATAGGGTGCCGACACATTTGCATTTTGCCGGTTAGCTGCCGGTAGGTTCCACCGATGCGACTGCACATCGGAGATAGATGTTGCTGCTACGTGAAACGAATGACGAAAGAGGACATATATCATACTACTACCTGCACGGCGCCGAACGACTTATAAGACAGCAAACGGGCAGGTGGACTCTCCTGCCACGTAAGAACCCCGTCCATCGCAGCCATTCCCTCTTGGTCCGCAGTGTTGGTAAACGGGCAAAATGGGGTTACAACTTGCCCGGCCCTTGCAGGCCTGTTGCTGTTGCCCACAACTGCTACTCCGAGTGCAAGTGAGTAGCGCATGTGTAGTTAACCAAAGCGTTCTATGTTCGAGGAAGTTCTCGTGCACTTCTCTCCTGCCGCACGCGGCTTGCAACTCTGTGGGTGGCGCGTGGTTCTCTCCTGCCATCCTACATATGTACATACGTGGCGCAAGCTTGCAGTTCTGGAATGATGTGCGCGTTTTTCGGGCACACAGCACCAGGTCCCGCGTTTTTACGTAAGTCTTCGTGAGATGAGAGCGAGGGATCGGGCCTGTTCTGCTGCCTCTACTGGTTGGTGCAGCTACAAAACTCACTTGTGTACATCCAACCGGACGGCTGGAGGCCTTGGGCTGCCGGGTTCTGGCTGATCGTCGACACCCAGGTGTCCTGGGCCCAAGGTTCTTGCCAGAAGTCGTCGAGGCCCCGTGCCTGCTGCTGCTCAGTGCTCATGGTTTCCTCGGGATGTATGACACAGCAGCAGCAGTTGCAGCAGGTTGTTGATGTCGTCGTTCAGCTAGAGGCTGGTTGTTGCTGTTTTGCTGCTCGAAGACAGCTAGCTGCGGAGTACCGTGTTTGTCTAACGGACGCGCCCCAGGAGGTGGTGAGTGGTGGTGCGACTTTTGCCGGAAGGACGGAAGAAGAGGAAAGCAGTGATGCGAGGAGGAAAGAGGCAATATTAGCTGATGATGGCGTGGTGTGCGCTCTCGGGGGGAATATCCAAAGAGGTGGAAACTCTGGTGGAAGGAGTGGTCCAGCCCCGTTCCCTTTTTGCGGTCTGTGAGCGCCAAATTCAAAAAATTCAGAAATCTATGGCATGCCCTTGGCTGACCGGTAAACAAAGCGGCGGGACCCACACTCGATTTGTTCCTTTTCGTCTACAAGATGACCCGATCCATCAGAACTTGGTCCTGTGATTGGCCAGGCCTGGTCCGGGAACAGATCCGAATTTGCGTACCTGTTAATCTGGGGGGCTGGATCCTGCAGATTGCGCATGGGCGTAATAATGTTCGTGTTTTGGCGCCCAGGGAATGACCATACGCGTCTAGCGGCAGTGTGGAGATTGGAACCCAATGGACAGTCTGGTGGCTGTGGCACGCAACATTGGGTAGCTGACCCGTAGTTCCCAGTAGCTTCCGCCGCGAGACCACTACCGAGAAGAAACGGGCTAGACACGAACGAGAGTTTCGCATATACAGAGCCGTACATGTCTCGTATAGCGGACGAGCCCTCGGCCAAGCCAATGAAAGAAAAATGTTCCTGAACGGCAGCCCGTGCTGCGGAATATTTGTCTTCCGTTTTCCGAATCTCGCGATTTATTATGTTGCACACACACCTACCTTCACACACACCTACCTTTTTTTTTTTTTTGTTCTTCACTTCAAATCAGCGCTCACAGCACTAGTGCCGTTTATTCCAACCCGTGGTCACACAGAAGAGCCTATCTCTACCCTCCCCTCCTGCGGTACTTCGCCTTCAATTTTTAATGCGAGAAGAGTTCAGCACTCTAATCCCTCTGTGTACACACCAACTAGCGCTATCCACCTTGGTTGGCATCAAACAACAACAAACACAATGAATAATGGTGATCATGTTCGAATACAATAGGTAGGGCGTATGCATACACATACGTACCGCGTATTGTGGAATAATTACTACCGACATATTTATTACTTGGAGAACAGGTTTGTGGGCTGCTGTCATGTGTGAGCGGTGCATGTATAATAAGTCGTGGCATAATACCGAGGGTATGTATGGAACTCGACAAAATATTCAACAGTTGCGCACAGCACAGGAAGAAGTTTGCAGTGCGAACAAAATACGAGAATCCGAACGGAAAAGACTGCTGCTTGCTGTGCATGGCATACAATGCATTATATACTGCTGTAGCTCCAGACGATTCAAAGGAGGGCGATAAGAGCCTCTGACGACTCGCAACTCACATCTATCTCCATAATTACATACCTCTACAACATTTGTACATACAGCGTGGTACGTGCGAACATATATATGTACTTGCAGCGTACCTCCGTCCATACAACAACACGAAATACGAACCATCCATGTTCCGTGTTGTAAACGCACATCCTAACTTCGTTCGTCGTAGTCTGTATGTATGTAAGCAGCAGCAGTAGACCCACCAGCCATAGATTGACCCAGGGTACACGGTATCACCGACCGTGTTGCCGGTAGGTTGGCTGTGGGTAGGTTGCGATGGGTGTTGTCGTCCTTCTCTGAAGAGCACCCTCAACAAGCCACAACGCTTGACGAGAGGGAAAAACAAGCGGAAAGAGATTGACGACAATGTATGTGAATAATTAGACTAATTAGAGGCACACAGCAGCAAAACGCATGGTAAAATAATATGGCTTTAGACTCAAGTCAACAGCTGTAGTACTACCCACCATTACCCGAATCGTGTCAATTTCTTCGCGTATACATAGAATACCATACATGAACTACCCCGATCGTGTGGCTTCGCTAACCTGCTGTACTGCCTTTGTGTATGCCAAAGATCCATTTTCTAAGCAGGGCCGGCCGTCCTCGGAATTCTTGCCAACGAACGGCGGTAACGCGTTGATCAGACAGACGCTTTTATGGTGGATCCAACGCGTTGCTCTGTATCGCCGTTCACGGTAAGAAGAATTCCGAGGAAAGCCCTGCATACTGTATAATTTCAGTCTAGTCTACATCAACAGCCATACCAGTGTTGAAGGAATAACAACGGTTTCGAACGGCGCAATGACCCTGAAAGAGTCTGTGACCTGCATACTGCAACACACCAGTCCAACACCATGAGTTGAATGCTGATAAAGAAACATGTAAAGAATAAAAAACAACAGCACGTGGGCGTGACCACCGAGCGAGGCACTTGAGAAGAAGCATGCTGCATCTATCTATCGGTGTGTATTTTTTCGGTCGTATCCTCCGTCTGCCGATGGACGGCAGTCTCACATGCATACTGCACACGGCGACTTTCGGATACTAAACAGACGGAGGGCGCGGAAGGCATGCTTCACATGAACTGAATAACCTCCCCGTCATGAAAGCCTAGCCCAGCATGCCTTCCCTGAAATACTCCCATCTTCCAGAACCAAGCGCGTCCTGGAGGCAGGAATGAGAGCCAGGTCAGAAAAACTACGCATCGTTGGCCTTGACCCATGAACTCGAATGACGACAACGACAAGTGGCAACAACAGCAACAACATCTTCGCTAAACGGCGATGGAATTCGGGCGCTGGAGGGCGTCAGGAAGAACGAACGCTCGTTCCTTTGTCGTTTTCTCTCGACGCCAAATCACAGAATTTCGGCGAACAGATCACCACGCCGACGACCACCGTCGCGCCGGCGGCAGGGGCGTGATGCGAGCCGCCCCCCGCCCCACCCCGTCCGCGCTGATTGGCGGAGATCGAGCATCGTCTTAGCAAGGGTTTCCCATCAGTCAGACGGGGCAAATACTTTCCAAGGAGACATTTTCGTCTCACTTGTTCTCTGTCTAGGGGACAACCAGGGGAGGATCATGTCCACCACGCGAATCGCTTAGAAAACTGCTGCCACCTTTTCCCAGTACTCCGCCCAACAGCTCAAAAAAAAAAAAAAAGACGTTATTTAGCGCCAAACTTTAAAAGCTCGATGCTCGCAGACGCGCACGTAGAGCGGCCTCAAAAAGATAGACAACCAGCGCCAAAACAAAGACAGAACGCACAGGAAATCCATCTTTTTCCATCCCCTACAACGCGCCCCGCACGAGGTGAACTCCAACCAGCTGCTGGCAAGGGATGGGACAGGGGAGAGTGAAAATAAAAAGAAGAGATAGACACGCACAGAAACACCTCAGCGCAAACACGCACCTAGGTACCTTGCTCGCTTTGCAAACAGCAGCCGGCCCCCCTTGCCTACTCATGGCACGGCAAAAGACGCGCGACGCCCTCTTTGTGATGCCCCCCCCCCGCCCCCCCTCCGTCCTTCTGCGTGCCCTCCCATCCTTCAAACCGAAAACAAACTACCGCATACCAAACTATCAAAGACATTACACGTTTGCGGAGATGTAGTCGACCGCATCCTTAACAGTGACCATCTTTTGCGCGTCGTCTTCTGAGATCTCGATCTGTTGGATGACGCGTGGCAGTCAACGGCGGCGCAACGAGGGACGGGAAGGGGTGGGTCGTGGAAAGAGGAGTAACCAGAAACGGGTACCTGGGTGGATTATCACAACTTCAGGGTACACTTGGAAATCAACACGACACCAATCTCCGACAGCCTCCGCCGTAGATCGCGGCGAAATCAATAAACCGCTGTCTTTGTCCTGTGCCTCGGAAGCATGATGCACGAGGCAGGTCGTGCCCGTTTTCCTCTCTCTCTCTGTGCTTTTACTGATCAGCACCACACCGAACGAACTCGTGCGTCAAGCGAGTCCGACCCTCTGTCGAGAGGGGCCGGTATCCTATGGAGGCGGTGCCTATGAACGAGCGAGCGTGGTTGGTGGTTTGGTTGTGGGCATGTATGTGCGGTACACGGTATGTGCGGTACACGATTTTTTTTGTATGACCATTTCTGGGTACAAAATCGACCTCTTCCGGGTACACACCAATAACCACTATCGGTCATAACAGAGGGTCCTAATGCCAGTGGTAGTTGTACCCGATGGAGGTTTCTTCCGAAATGGGTACGAAGGTTTTTCGGCGAACCAGCTAACAGCCTGGGGGCGCTTTTATGTTGAGTTCTACAGTGTACCCTACAGTGGTGATAAAGTACCCGGGTATACCCGTTTCTGGTTATTGGTCTCGTGGAAACAACACAGCAATTGCGTGGGTAGCGTAGAAACAACACCATATGGCATGTAGGTCGAACACTGCTGGGGAAAAGGCATCCGGGGCAAAAAAGTTCCTCAAGTAACACGACAAAAAGCTCGATGGCTACTTATATTCAGGGAGACACACCGTTGAAGAAATCTCACCTCAAAGAGGACCAAAAAATTGTGAGACTGCCCTATTGAATACGAGTCGTGAAGAGGTACTCAACTAAACGCATTCCCCAGTCGTTAGACCATTAACCTAGCACCCCTACAAGCCCGGACCGAACGATATGCTGGCTTTTTCGCCGGCCCAGGCTACGTTGCACAAGGATGAAGTAGAATCTAGAAGAGGGGGGGGGGGGGGGGGGGCACTTACGTCGAACTTCTCCTCGAGCGACATGATGATCTCGACTGTGTCCAGGGAGTCTGCGTCGAGGTCCTCGATGAAGTTAGAGTCGATCTTCACCGATCCCTGCTTCTCGAGCTGCTCTCCCACAACCTCAATCACCTTTCGTCATGCGCGCGGGTTGAGAAGAACCGAAATATTGAAAGAAAAAACATCGTAGTCTTTGCACCACACATTTGAGCATCATCCATCCCGTGTCTTTTAGACTCCACTGGCACCACGCTAACGTTGTTCATTGAACGGTTGGGCGTAGAAATCTAAAAAAAAACGTCTTGTACACGAACACAAAGAACGTCACAGCAGCGTTCGCCCAAACCGGTTGAACTCGCTCTCTCAGCAATACTTTCCGATTGCCACCATAAACAGTTACACCAACAAACTTTCCTTGACAAAATCCCCCCCAAACGCTCCAACGGGCTTCGCGAAACCCTGCTGCAGCTGCCAACACATGTGTTTCAAACACACCAAATGCTGTGCGTGCACACACACAGCGCGTGCCCCGAGGCTACAAGCCACCACCACCGCTCTTGACCTTAGATTTAAGGTTCTTACTCACCTGAGCCTCGACCTCGCTCGCGTCTGCCATGCGGACGGGCGCGACCGAAGACCGTGCGCAGGTCCGCTGCTGGGCTACGAAAGAGTTGGTTCCCACCGGCGCGAAGAAAGCGGCGCTGTCGCCGTCAAAACACGATGGGGGCACAAGCGGGGAATTAAAATGATGGTCCCTGTATGTAGAGTTAAAGGCCGCTGAAAATAAGGCAGTGTACAAACATTGCCGGTGATACGCGTGACACAGACAGAGGGGGTTGTCTCACACTCTCGGACATCGGTGTCGAGTGCCTACATAGGCCGCCTAAATCCCATGGCACGATGTATGCGGCCGTTTGCCGGCCACTAGTGCTGTGCAGGCTTTGTACCGGCACAACCACAAGGGCACCTCAACCACATGATAATCATAATCATGTCATCCAAGTAACTCTTGCGGTACACTCGCTGGTATGGACCCCGACTCGTGGGCGCGCACCGTATGTACGCGTGCGCGTCGCCCTCTGCACAAGACACATGATGAAGAGACAGCCGTCAACTTCTGCAAACTACTGTACCGCCTGCGGCTGGTGCGTCAAACTCCCGCCGACACGTGTAAGGACGAAAACCAAAACACGAACACACACGGGGCCTGAGGTATTTTCATTGGTCACGCGGTTACCGCGGTCCATGCTAAAATAGCGCGTATCGTTGCTACTACCGTATGTACAACACACGATGCTATTACTAGATGTACATCAACACACTTTTTCCCGCGGGTATTGCTTGGCTGTATGCATAATTGCTCCGAGTGTTTGGTCCTGTACTACGAGTCAGGGGCCTTTTTCTTACGGTCGATGTTTGCCATCCATCTTGCTTTTTGTGGGGGGGGAGGGGGGGGCGCGAACGGACAGACAGCCCGTTGGACTTTGCACTGCGGACATCTACTCTACCCTTCCACGAGCTGTGGGTGATACTGGAAACGTTGAAGTCGAAAGTGCAAAACACCCATATACCCGAAGCTCCAGCAAATTACTTGAGTACAGAGTGCCAGCTACACGGTACGAGACAGACTTGTGGGACAACTTTCGCTAAAGACGCTCGACGAATAAAACACTTTGGATCCCCCCCACAGATCCCTGACATCCAACAAATTTCGGTTGCTCCTATGGCCGACGTCTCCGCCTCGTACATACGTCTGTCTTTGCGAGGCCTCATCACCTAAAAAGGGTGCGTCGCTCATTCGCCAAGTCTCCTTTGTGTGTGTCTGCGCCGGAAGCGGCCTCTGCTGTTGTTGTGTGTAGAGAGGCCGCCACACAAACACAAAACGGCGCGTGAATACTACTACGCTGTAGCAGCAGTCGCTGATATGTCCAACTTACCACAGTAGAAATAACATGCTGCTGAATCTACTAGTCCATGTGTACTCCCCAAAAACCCAAAAACAATTAATTAAATCAAACACCCCCATATATATTTGTCATCGAACGCATTCAGTCAAGTTACACGCGCACGAAATGGAACCGGCTGGGGCATGTTCGTGACGCCGCAGTACTACTCGGCCGTTTTCGCCACTGAAACGTCCAACACATCCGATGGAACGAGGTTGATGATGTGGCACGTGCCCTTCAGAGGAGCTGTTGCCAGCGTCAGCATATGGGACGGATTTCGGGCTTGTGGGACATGCATGCCAAGAGCCCGCCAAACGTCATCGAGATCGCCACAGCAGCGCAGCTGCCGGTAGCTCACACCGCCAACACTAGACAGCATCTTCAGCCTTTGGCCTTGCAGAACGAACTCGGAGATAACCACACACTCTCCGAGTACTCCCTGAAATCTCCCCCAAGTCTTCGTGCAGACTGCAGTAGTGGACAGCTGCAACCAGCAGGGGAACACGCGAGGGGCTGCGCATCTTGGCACAACAGAGATCTCAACTTGAGACAGCGACAGGGAGCCACGTGCGGACCATAGCCAGGACACAACGCAACGGCGGGGAACAGCAGGCACCGCAGACTAGTTGAATCTAGTCCAGGGGGGTACCAACAGCCAGGCAGAGCAGTCGCAAGGACATCGTCGAAGCTCTCTTCGATTGCGTCGCTGTCGTGGTTAGCACCGCCTATCCCAAAAAACAAACAAATGCATGCATGTATGTGCCATGAGCAGCCTCTCTCTCCGTCTTGCAAGCTTTCCTGCCAGACAAAGGACGCGAGCGGCGACCGCCAAAGAAGCGCACGCTCACCTAGGAGCTGCCACAAGGGCGGCGGCGACAAACTGGATGACCTTCATCTCTGCGTGTGGTGTGGTGTGGAGCGAAGGTGAGCTAGGTAGCGCGAGAGAGCGAGGTAGACGATGTGTGCACAGGATGGATGTGCGGCGCAGATGGCATCGAAAAACTGGGCGGGGACGCTACAAGATTGCCCCCTGGGTTTCCACTTTCTCGGATTACGGGCGGGAGGAAACCATCATCTTTATCTACATGCATACCTATGAAGAATGCTGTCCCAGCTGTAGTAGTTATTTCGTCGCACCCCAAGTAGCACCGGTATGCTGTTGTATGATCTGCTGAGTAGTTTGTGAGACGTCGGTGTTGTGCTTTTTCGCTTCTTGTTGCATGCATCAGTGTGTAGACGATACCCATCAAACCACGCCATCACGCGGACACACAATTTTTTCCACGAATGACGCTTCGCTACACAGCATATGGAAAGGGCCTGGACGAACCTTGCCTGCAGGTAAACGTTCACATCACATTAAACGTTCACATCACATACGTATAGGCAAAGCGCTGCTCGCCAGGCGTACAATCACATCATGTTAGATCAGCATTTATGTGTCTGTTCCCGCTGGCTTCCATGGGGAAAGTGAAGTACGAAGAAACATCCACCGTCGTATCCATGCATGCATGCGTATATTGTGAGAGGGCGATCCCATGGGCCCACGAACGCCCACATGAGCAAGTCGGCGAGAGGTTTTCCGCACAACTGCCCTCTCTTGTCTTTTTAAGTCAACGAGGCAATTCTATACTTTGACGGAATACCGTACGAGTCATCCGCGACCAGGAATATATATACGGACTTGATAAACATGACTTGCAACAACTTCAACAAACTCAACACGACTAACTACCCGTTCGGGAAAATACGTACCTCGTTCGAAGGCATGCGTTCAAATGAAGTATTTACTGCTGTGATTAAGGGGGGAAATCCGCTGGGTGATAATCGACTTGAAGTATGCGTCTCTTTGAGTCCTCAACACACTGAGACAGCAGTGATACCATCACAAGAAACAAAACATCTACCAGGTATGACCAAACCGACTGATGTTTGTGAGCGATAATATCGTAACGCCCATCACACCCCCTGCAGCGCGCGTTGAAACGAGTTGCTGCTAGAGCGTCCCCCCGATGATGCGTGCAACCTACATGCGAGCGATGGCAACCACAAACAGTCCATGGAGGCCTGGTCTTCCCCACCCAAAGGAACAAACACATAACGACCGCCAGTCTAACTTCGACTACACGAAACGGGCATGATCCAGAGGGTGCAACAGCGGGGAGGGGGACAGCTCATTCAATATCCTGTGCCTAACAAAGACCCTTTATATGCAAGCATAACGGGAGGCACCGGGCGAGGGCGCCGCTGGAGAACAAACCCGTTTGGAAGCAACTTTGACGTAACCAAACCGAGGAGTAACGCGTCAAATCTCGTGATCTCCAGGGCGGCACAAGCCTAGCTTTCGGCGCCGTGAGTATTTTCCCTATGTACCTAGATAAATGAATTGGTAACTCTATGTTCATCACGCCCCAGCCAAGCCCCACACAGGGCAGGCAAGGGGCGGCAGGTACAGGCAACAAGACACGCCATCCTCCCAAAACAGACCCCGACCCCTCAAACCAGGGCTGACTCTAACAAACAGACCTGGACCGAAATGGCAGGCGCCCTTCTCAGCAAAAACAAAAAAAAACGTACCGAACTGGTCGTGTCACTATCTGTGCGGTCGTATACGGTCCCCATCCGAGGACCGCCTTCTTCGCCGAAGCCTAAAGTCTATGATAAGAATAGTACCACCCCTCAGAGGAAGAGGGGTAACTTCTTCCCTCCCCGAAAAAAAAAAGAACCGTTTTTCGTTTCCCTTCTCTTTTCTCGTGTTGGCTGTATTACTTGCTGTGGATGCCGCACTCGGTCTTCTCGGAGCCGTCCTTGTTCTTCATACCCTCGAACCTGCCGGACCGCTCCCCGCCGTAGCTGAACCAGTTCTCGAGCGGAACCTTGCGGGTGCTCTGCATGTCCCCCAGGGAGGAGAAGCCGACATCGTGCAGGGGGTGGTAGGGCACGTTGTGCTTCCGCAGGTAGGTCCAGCAGTCCTCGAACGACCAGAAGGACAGCGGGTTGAACTTGGTCCCCTCCCACACGGGCAGGGCGGCGCGCTCGAAGCCGTGGTCTCGGCGGCGACCGTTGATCCAGGCCTCCGTCTCGGCCTCCTTGAGGGCCCGCATCAGGGGCTCCACCTTGCACTTCTTGTCGTACTGGTCGATGTCCTCCATCCAGTAGTCCTCGCCGTACCTGTGGGCGCCGCGCCGTTTTTGTCATGTTTGTTACTTGGCCGAAGGATGTTCGTGTTGCCCACCGGACCACCCAATAAAATACTTGTATTGCTGTTTGTTTTGGGCTACGGGGGGGGAATCAACCAAGCATCCCCGATGGGAGAGACTTTCCCCTAGATACACGTTGAGCGGCGCGACGAGTGATGGTCATGTGTCCACGGCAGGGCTCTTCGTGCCTTGAACGGAATCGGCCGTGATGGTTAAAAACAAAATTAGAAGCAAGCCTAAACGAACGCTGAGGAGGCCGAGCGAGTGGGGGGGTGGGGGGGGGGGAGGAGAATCACGTGGCGGAGGAAAGTGTTGTGTGGTAAAGCCATCCATCATATTGTATCGAACGACGTCATTCACACGTATCGTATCGTATCGTATCGAGGGTCAGGCTCACTTGTCATAGAAGTCTTGCTGCGTTTCGCAGTCCACGCAGTGGTAGATGGACGCCTTGAAGCCGTAGTGCTCCTCAACCTGCCAGGGGGGCGGAGGATGGTGGGGTGCGCGTACTCAGGTTGTGCTCACCGTAAACTGACTTTGACCAAGCTTCTATTTCGAGACGAGGGAGCGTTCCTGTGTGGACGGGGGTGGAGGCGGTACTTTTAACACGACATTCCGCTTGTCTGCACAAAAAAAAATTGTATGCCATGGAAAGGACAAAATCAACGACAAAATTTGCCCCCTCGCCATGTTTCCGTTGCAACTATGCAGTCTCCTTGTCCGTCGGCCCCTCTGTCCTTCGTTCTCTTTCTCTCTGTCTCTCTCTCTCGTCAACCCTCTGCGTCCCCGGCTCTCCTGGTCTCCTTTGCAGTTTCTCCCGCCTGTTCTCGCTTCGTCTGCATCTCTCTCGCATACTGTACCTTGTCTACCCACCCAACGGCAGCAAACCCTCTTCCCAAAAATGCTCGCTCTGCACCCTCCCCCCCTCCATCCCGCTCTACGCGGAACCCCTCTCACCTCGTGCAAGAAGTCGAGGGACTCCGGGAAAAGGAAGTACGTGTCGACGAACACGACCTTGATCTTGTCCAGAAGACCGGCCTTGGCGATGGCGTCGAGGATGACGCAATCCCCGGCGATGAGAGCCGTCGTGAAGATCGGGTTCTTCTTCTCCTGCGGGCGCGTTGATTGGTAGGCGCGGTTTACATCGGCGGGGTTGTGATTCGGCTGCTCGTTAAATGTGTTCGGTGTCTTTTCTCGATTGGCGTGGTTTGTATCGGTGGAGATTAGATCGTTATTTCAGCTTTTTCGTAGATATGTTCGCGTAGATACGTTCGTTTCTTTTCTCTATTGGCGTGGTTAGTTTCGATGGAGTTTAGCTCGTTGATTCAGCGGTTCGTTTCTTTTCTCAACGAAGAAAGGTCTTGTGCTGGTCTGCTGTGCTGCGGGCGGGAGGAACAGCGTTCCCTAAAGGGCATGCCACTGCAGGTGCACGCAGCGGAACACGCCCAAAAGCAGTAGTGGCGTTGGCTTTGGCGGGACTCCTGTTAAGACGTGTGGCATACCACCCTCAACGCTACCCACAGCAGTCCTTCGCACAGCCACATAAAAATTACCTGTGTTTACACCCCAAGACATGGAACCTGCATCGAAAGACGAAAGTAGAAAAGTCAAAAATAGCGTTGCACCAGTACGCGCAATGCGTTCGGGGGACAGGGGACCGGGGTTTGGCGCCAGCGGCAACGTAGACTTGTCCCTACCTGCGTCTATCTTGAATACAATATAGATCCCCGGCATGACTATCCACGGGCCCGGTGAACACAAGATGGATCCCCAGAAGCTACCCGAGGGGTCCCGTGACTACAAGATGGAGGATCCCGGGCATATCCGCAGCTTTGTGTAGCTGCATGTATGTACTCACAGCGACAAGCTTGGCGAAAGAGTCCGCGAGCTGGCTCTCCAGGTTCGACATGCGCACCTCCTCGAACAGCTGCGACGGAAACACGCAAGATGACGTAGAGACATCACAGACAGAGACGGATGTCAAGCGTTGTCATATGCTGGGTGTACAAGCGATTTGCGTGTGTGCTTGCACGGGTTCGTACGAAGAGCATGTAGCCAAGTAGACAGCAGCAATTGTAAGGCGCGTGTGCGGGGTGTGTGGACGAACTTCTTCACGGGCTGCATGTACATCCTTATTCTGGAGGATAACAGGGTTTTGAAAAACATATCATCATGAAGTTGCATGAGCGAAGTGAACGACCTTTCGAGTTCTACAGCAGCAGCAGAAGCAGGGACAGACGGAAGGCAGGACGGCAGTCCATGGTGTGCGAGCACAGAACACTTTTTTCTTTTTTCTTTTCGACGTGGCAAGACAGGTTCGAGACAAGGCTGTTCAGGCGGCCTTGATCATACACATCATGATACACACCAATCTGCAAAAAAGCCCACCAACGACAGGTTGGCTTGAAGCACGTCATGATGACGTTCATAGGTCGAACATGTCCGTGTTGTCTAGAAACATTAAAATGTAGTTCTTTGTTAAATTGGGCGAGCGGAGTTTTGCCGTCGTGTTGCAAGAAATGGGTCAAACGCGAGGTTTCATCAGAGCATGTCCGAAGCGACAACATGAGAACCATGTTCCCCTGCTGCGGCCCATGCTGTCCGTTAACCAACCGCATAAAGCCCTGCGGTTGGCCTGGTACAGACCCGTAGGGGGGGGGGGGGGTACTCATAGTCGTGCATGCCGTAGTCGTTAGACCATTGACCTCGCATCCCTACAAAGCCGGGACGGAGCACGCCGGGTTCTCACCGGACCAGGCTCTCACATCACCAAGCGCGAAGCGCGGTGAGGTATTCGGCGAGTCGCATGAAGGGTGCGCTGCATCCTGCTACAAGGGTGTTCGGCATCTTGTGCTTACTTCCTTGCGTACGGATGAGAGTTGCGTATGACTTAATTTATTTTCTGGTGCGTTCACTTCCAGAGACAATTGTAAGCTCTGTGTAACTGCCTCGAGGGTGTTTGACCAATTTAACACAACGTGCGATTTTCCCCTTTGCGCGGAGTGAGGGTTCTCCACCCTGCACAACATGATCTACTCGACCACCATTCATGGTTACCGCAACAAAAAAAAAAGCGGTAACCTGGTCGCCGAGTTCACGAAGTGAATCGGCTTGTTTTACAACATCGCTGCCAGGCGACGAAAACCCAATCCCGATGGCAAACACCGGGGGGGCGGCTTTTTTGACGACGTCGTTGCCAAGCGACGAAAACCCAACCCCGATGGCAAACACCGCGGGGGGGGGGGTCGCCAAACATGAAACGATGAAAACAGTCATGCACACCTTGTTCATCTCTGCGTCCTTCCCCTCCCCGTAGTCGGTGCCCTTGGGGATCTGCACCGAGAAAGAAAGAGCGGCACGCGGGAAAGGCAACGCGCGTGCGCGCGGGGGAAAGGGAGCATGAGCAAAAAATAGGCATGCACGGGGATTGACTTCTCCGGGTGTGATTCAATACATGGTGCCGGTTCCGCATGTTCCCTTTCATGGCGGCTACAACAGTCTGTGAAGACGCACGATACACGTATGACACGACGTAGCCATAAAAACCGCTGCTGTGTCCTTCCAGAAAGCTCGTCGAATAGAAAACCACAACGAACCATTCTGGAGGTTGTTCAACACCGGAGGAAAGCTCTTGGGATTGGAGAGGTGTGGCAGTGGGATGGACCGCCGCCGCGCCGCGATACCAGCGACACGCGGGAGCCAAACGGTTAACTGCATGTTACGCCAAGTCAGCGCAACGTTTACTTCCAGGAGAACATTGGGTAACCGGTTACAGAGCCTACGCACAGCAGTCGGATCCATCCGAGCGCCCGCGGGTCGTTAAACGGAGCAAAAACCCACATATTTCCACTGACTAATGTTTTAGCTGCTTGTTGCAGCCATCCGGCATGCTTTATCTCCGGGTGTGGGGATTGATGGTTTCGCGGTACCACACATGATATGTCTTGGGCAAACAAAAGGCATTCAGCTAGAGTATTGGGCATAATCATCCGAGGTTGCGACCGGTTGACAGCGCAACGCCCCCCCGAGACACCCACAACATCAAGTACGCTGATTGCACCGGGCGCCTGCGACACCGCAGACACATCTTGGCGACACATGCAAAAAAACACAAAACAGAACGTGGTTCATGTGGGATGAAGGACGGGCTGAGGCTCTCCTACACTTGTCGGCACAACGGACCAAGGGCCAGCAGCAGCACTACTATTACGAGGATTCGTCTGCCCCAAGGGGTGATCTTGTGCAGGACAAGCGACAAGCACTCACGGTGGCGAAGTCCCGGGGGAAGTTGGCGGCGAGCTCGGGGTTGAGGCCCATGCGCACGGGCACGTGCTGCACGGCGCTGGTGGCGGAGCTGCTGGCGGCAGCGCGGGTGCTGAGCACCGGTGCCGCGGGCACGAAGGCATCGGCCCCGGCGGCCAGCAGGCTCAAGAACGCGAGAGATGTCTTCATGTTATGTGCCGAGAAACCTGTAAAGCTCGATCGAGGTGGCACTGACCAGTACGCCCGCCGGAGTGAGGCAAGGGGGATCGGTGGATAGCGTTGTAAGCATAATCCGTTTCTATCGCATCTGTTGTGACCCCTCCTCCTTTTTTGCCAAGCCTGCTGCTGCCTGCTGCCTGCTGTTCTGCTGTTGCATCGACGAGCTCTCTGCTGTCTGCAGAGGACGAGGGTAGGAGCTGGGACCATGGAAATCACCCACTCAAAGGGAACCTTGTACCCTGCTCTTCAGCTTTCATCGTTTCGGGTGAGAAAACATGCCCCGTTCAGATACAAGGAAAAATGGGACGCTCCTTGTTGCGGCTGATCACACCGCCGTATGTGTAGAACTTTGTGGAACAAAGGTTGTTTGCAGAGACACCGGCATGACGTGCTTGCGAAAAACTCGCTCCGGTAGGGCATGATGAGTTCATGCCTTTGCTGAAGTAGTGGGGGTTGGGGATCACCTGCTGGATATGGAACTGCCTTGTGTCTCCTTCAGTGCTTGCGCTCAGAGAGAAACCAACAATGATACCGGCAACGAGTCTTGGCTTGGACCGTGCGACATAGAGAAGGGGAAGCGGAGAGTTTCCTTGCTCACTGCACAGGTAGTAGCGCTGCTGCTGCCGTGTAAGCTGCTGTATACTCCGTACACAAGTAGTTCAGAAAATCTCTCCAACAAACACACCAATGCCCCCTGCTGCTTCGTTCTGTGAAGGACACTCGGCGAGTATTCTACACACAGCAGTAGCCTACAAGGCAGGTTGATGCTCTCTTTTGATCAGTTTGATGACCACGATGTCGGTGCGTGTAGTTCTATTTAGAAGACTTGAGGGAAAAATAAGAGAAGTCTGTACCCATTTGAGATATACCCACAGTAGTCGAACGGGATGTGGTGGGAGTCTTTTCAGTGAGTGGAGGAAAACCGGCTGGGTACTGGACTTATTTCGAGTCTTTTAAAGTCTATACACTGATGATTTATATCAGTGATGCCAGCTGGTGCTAAGTACAAAAACATCTCTATAGGTAACTTACATTTACAACACATCCCCTGTAGTCTAGTTCTGGGTCTTAGTTCTGGGTCAACGACAAATTTTCGTGGAGAATCCCTCCGTTGTGTCGTGTATTGTAAAATGTAATCTTCACAGGGGACACGGCTCAGTGTCCATTGACAGCTTGCGGGTTTGTTAGATTTTAGGAATAATATTGTAAAAATCATGGGAGATAGAACGAAGGCTACAGCAGTACATAACTCGTTTTTCAAGTCTACAGATTTTTTAATTTCACGGGCAGCAGTAGTTTGAGACTGGTCTTTACCCCGATTTCTCTCTCTCTCTCTCTCTCTCTCTCTCTCTCTCTCTCTCTCTCTCTCTCTCTCCCTCCCTCCCTCCCTCTCTCGCATGCTCACGCATCTCTTTTGGGTAGCATACCTGCTGCAGCTGCAATATCAATATGGCATGTCGGCATAATTCGCTACAGGCACACCTAAGCGTGACTATGCCTACAAGTATGCCATGTTTTTTGTCACGTACCATCAGTTACACATATGCTCGTCGCAACTCGTCTGTATCTCGCACATGTCGCACATGCCCCTGCACGTACAGCAGTAGCTGCGAGTGCATCGCGCTGCCGGCATCTAGCTTGTTCGAAGCCTGCGACTTGGGTAGTCTACACCTCCGATGTGTTGCGCGCTTGGAAATCTGATAAGTACCGTGGAGGGCGCGGGGCGGATGCCGGCCTCCGGAATATACTCCGGGCAAGACCTTGAATCTCGCTCTGCTTCACCGCTACCTTGACGTCGATGCAGAGTATTGTAGTGCCATGATGAAATGTGGTCGCCATTCACTGCAGATCGCTAAACCGAACTAACAATTACATAGCATAGCAGTTATACTGCCGGAGTGCCGTTGCGACACGTGATTTTGTGGTCGCTAAACAGGGCATGTCGCTAAACACGGGTGAGCTAAACCGGGAACCCCACTGAAAGGATAAGTTGCGTCGTCACCAGTTTGGTGCTGCGAGGGGGTGACTTTGTTTGGGCCTCCATATCGCCGGGGGATGGAATGTTAGCTCCAAATCACACCCCTGTGTTGCACGGGACATGCTGCCTCCTGAGATGGGGCGGCGGGTGCCCAGGCGAATCATGCTCCATCACATGGTCTCCTGGGAACGCCGTGGTATGCGACGTCGCTCGCGTGCTTTGCGCGGCCACAGCTGATGCCGCATTAGGTACACAACCAGCGCCTATAACGTTCCTCAGAAGTTGAAACCATGTTTCCGTGTGCCTTGCGACTGCTTGTGCCGCCAACTATTAGGTGAGGCGAGACAGCTTGCCTCCAGCTTTCGAGCTTCCGCAGGAAGTGGCCCGCGCCGTCAACGAGCCTCTGCCAGCCCTACGATCGACGTCGGTGGCGAGGGAAGTGAGCAATAACAGACTGCTGACCGCGCGTTTTACGGGAAAGTTGTGACGGGGTCTTGTGGCTTTTGTTTCGGGTTCTGGCGTTGATGTTGCGATTTGTTCACTGGGTGATTGGATTGTGCCGTTACTGCGTTGGTTTCCGTGAACAGTAAACACCTACCTAAATCCCGCCCAGGACAACCACTTCAACGTCCCTTACAGACCCTCCAGTATCACGATGAGCGGAGTACCAAATTTCACGTCCCTGCGTCTACTAACATCTGTTTTTCGCGCCTTTTCGTCGATACAATCACTTCAACAGACTTCAACACCCGTTCGACAGGGTTTGCTCATGTTTCCAAGACATGTTTGCTTTCCTGCGACAGCAAGCGCAGTTGAAGTGGTCGCGAAGTGCCAACGCATTCAGGAGGGAGGCAGATCCTCACGCCTGGTGCCGTAGCTCTTGCCCCTCGCTTTCTGTCGTTATTTTACTTTCATCACCGCACGTGCCTTCCACCATTATTTCGGTCGCTCTTGATGTACTTCCTGTTGGCTATTCGGGCATGTACCCCCCCACCCCCCACCCCTACCTACTCCCGGGGCCTCCCATTTGCATGCAACCCCTACCCCCACCCCTACGTACTCCCGGGGCCCCCATTTTGTCTGATTTCCCTCTGTACTGGTTTTCGGGGGTCCCTCAGGCTCTGAGAGAAAGCGAGACGCTCTTGAGGGAGAACGAGAGGGAGCAAAGGGCCGCCGAGGAGAAGATCGCTAGGGAGCAAGCGTTGATGGAGGAGGAGCTCACCCGCATCGTTGAGGAGACAGAGGCGAGTGTTGTTTTGCGGCGCGACATCCACGTAGACAAAACGTGTATTTCAACATCTATTCAATGTAAAAGTCGGAATGAGCGGCACGCTGCCCTCTTCTCGTCTCCCGAAGAATTTTGCGCACCACGACCAAGGGTTTGCTGTGTGTTTTCCCTGCACCAATACTGCCCGTGTTTGTCCCTTATCCCTCATCTAGCCGCAGGCATTGCATTCCTTCGTTTAGGCGTCCTGTTCAACGCACCTTACATATAAATAGCGCAACTGATGCATGCTTGGAAATTTCGGATTTTTTCTTGTGTTTTTTTTTTGCGTGAGGTCGGACGGCTATGTGTATACATACCATATGCTAGGTTTAATGTGGGGTTTCTCATCGGGCATCACAAGTCGGTAGCGACGAAGCCCACGTGCATTGAATGAACCATGGAGGTTCATCTTCTCGCCTTCGCGTCCGAATGTGATGGCGGGTGTTACTAAATACTGGTGTATTTTTTTGTCGTTCCACATCTCGGTTAAACATTTTGGCGTCATAGACACAGGAGAGTGCGACAGCTCAACCCTTGCATGACTTGAGGTGCTAATGTTGTTGTCCCCCTCAATAATTGGCTCTCTGTTGGAGGACGCAAGCCCCAATTTCTTGCATGTGTGCACACAACGGCACGCACAAATCGCGGCGGCTGCGTCGCTAGTGTAGTCACACAAGGGCAATCACCCCCTCTAGAAGTTGTTGGCAGCGTCTCTGTAAGGAGTAGGGACGACCCTCTGGCCAACAATCGAGACAGCGGGCAAGCACTCGAGGAAGCCCCCCCCCCTCGTCCGCGGCTATGAAGGCACCCCCCCCCTCCTCCCTGTGAGAACAATGCGCGGTCCTTCCGAGGATGCTTGGCCAATGGTCTAACCGGTAGGGCACGCCAAACATGAACGCGCGCCCCCGCCCGCCCCCCAATTTTACAGCAAAGGAAATCGAAGGAAAACGCGGCGAAGGCTAAGAAGGTCAGAGACATGATGTCTCTGATGGGGGTGTCTGACCGATATGCTGCAGAGGTACGGCTGGAGCGGTGCGGGTGGGACTACGAGAAAGCCGCTACGGCCTTCCTCGAAACCGTCAATTAAAAGTCTCTTCGTCGAACGCCTTGCCGTACATACCCAACAGGACTCTCGGGCGGTTGGGTACATGTGTAGCTGTCGAGACGACGTGCTGAAAAACCGTCAGTTTTGTTGGTGTTTTCTAAGTCTGTGTTGTTGTCTGAAATAGTGGTGTGTCACTTCCCGTACTAATAACGTTGGTGTGAGGTCTGATGTTGTTATTGGGTGCTTGTGACGGCACCAGAATTTGTGTTGTTGGTTGTTTGGGCGTGTTGGCTTCGACTCGAGTGACGGGGCGTATACAAGAGAACATGGGCAAGTTTGCCAGGGCTGTACATGAGTTGGATTCGTCGCCTCTTGTTTGGTCGCTTGTACATTCGGCGACGCCCTAGGTCACCTCCAGCATACAGTAGCACCAGACCGACTTCAACCGGCGGCGCAACCTGCTGCTTCCAACGCAGGGTTGGGAGGTGTAGAGGGGCAGGGAAGGAATAGCAAGTGATTTTGTTTTTTTTGCGGTGGATAATACATGGTTATCTTTTCGTTGGAAGTCCTAGCGGGCTCCTCACAGAAGCGGAACCATTTTTTTTGCGATTCGGCGTGTTCCTGTACTAAATGGTATATGTTTTGGTACAAATAGTTCAAGCGATTCAGGCGCCACGATGAGGGAAGCAAAGGATAAAGGGTACAATTACATAGAACCGCATTCATGCGGGGGTGCGAAATAACCTCTCCGAGAGTTCCTTGAGCGCAGGCTTGCTTCATACCAACGCTTACGGTTCTCTATAATTCCGGTCTCGTTGTACAGCAGTACTGCTGCATGTCATAAAAGTGGAAGCTTTCAAGAAATATGGTCCGTTACTTGATGGCGACAACGTGCTATGTAGCATGAGAAATACTCGCAATCGAAGGAGTGTCCACAAGGCAAATCGGGGCGTGGGCCGAGACGCCTACATCTTCTTGAGGGAGAAAAATCGTGTGCGGTATGAAGCTCTACTACTGCTGTGGGTTCGGTTCGAATTTCTGATTTATGGTCGTTCGTCCATGATGACTGACTACGGCTGTTGTCTACTGTTTCGACACTTTTCCTGCTGCTCTATATAGATGGAACTACCGGTCCCACGGACGAGGTGGATACAACCAGTCTCATGTTTTCATTTTCGAATTCAACATTTACCGTGCCGACGTGATACTTCGTCGGAATCCAAACTCTATCCGCCGCTCATTTACTGACCCGATCCGCCGAAAGGAGAGTCTTCGGTTGCGGTTGACATATCTTATTTTGGCAGTACAATAGCCAGCAGCGTTGACGACGAAAAAGCTGCTCGGGAAACCGTGGAAATACAGGTAGCTTTCTCTGACGCTATGGAGTCATTGCTACTCTATCTTAGACTCTTTCCCTAGATAGAGATAGATTCGTTGGGTCATAATGAAAAAAAAAGGGAAAACGACACAACAGGGTATACCCTGGTCGAAAAGCGACACACCTGGGTACACAGTCATTAACAGCAGTAAATGCATTCATATGATTGGTCAGCGCCCAATTTCACCCCGGTACGTCCGAAAAGGCGCAGGGTATACCCTGCTGTGTCTACTTTTCTCACCAACTGTACCCTGTTTTCGGAAGTGTACCCTGACCTGACGGGAAATAAGACCCATTCATCAATCATTTCCCCCGCAGGAATCTTCCCAACTCCTTTTCCCCTCCAACCATGGGGTACCAAACGGCGAATCTTCCCACCCAATAACAACCATGGCAACGCGGCAGGAATCCGTTTCCGCCCCTGCCAAACAACACCAACCATCAACTCTTCCGCTCTAAATCAACAATGGCCGGGCACTACCCCAGCACAGCAGTTGTTCCGTTTGGAAACATGCACACACGCGTACAATACCCCATGCACCACTGCTTGCTGCAGTCTATATGCGACATGCACGGGTCACGCTACGAAAGCGAGACCGATCCAGCATGGTTGACATGCATATATATGCATGTATGTGCCCATGATGTGTGGCGCTGCGCTGAGCGGGCGGAGGAGAGAGGCAGCAACACCACACACAGACACGCCCTTGACATCAATCATGGAAGGAGGAGCGAGTGCTAACAACTCTAGCAGCAGGACTGTGTCGTCCAACTCAATCACCCTCCCTGTGCTTGCGGTGTATTTCATCGGCTCATCCCGCTGAAGCCTGACGTCTTCTTACTACATACATTGATTGGTTGGTCGGCTTGGTCGGCTGGTAAGCGCGACCGCTGCTGTTACAGCAGTAGTAGTAGTAGTTCAAGCAACAAACACATCGCAATTGAGACACAACAGACAATACACCCACGCACACACGGCACAGGCAGGAGGGAGTGGCAGCGCCCAACGTTACCCGTGTAGTGCTGTGTCCATACATGCATATATATATATGCATGTCAACCATGCTGGATCGGTCTCGCTTTCGTAGCGTGACCCGTGCATGTCGCATATAGACTGCAGCAAGCAGTGGTGCACGGGGTATTGTACGCGTGTGCATGATTCCGAACGGAACAACTGCTGTGCTGGGGTAGTGCCCGGCCATTGTTGATTTAGAGCGGAAGAGTTGATGGTTGGTGTTGTTTGGCAGGGGCGGAAACGGATTCCTGCCGCGTTGCCATGGTTGTTATTGGGTGGGAAGATTCGCCGTTTGGTACCCCATGGTTGGAGGGGAAAAGGAGTTGGGAAGATTCCTGCGGGGGAAATGATTGATGAATGGGTCTTATTTCCCGTCAGGTCAGGGTACACTTCCGAAAACAGGGTACAGTTGGTGAGAAAAGTAGACACAGCAGGGTATACCCTGCGCCTTTTCGGACGTACCGGGGTGAAATTGGGCGCTGACCAATCATATGAATGCATTTACTGCTGTTAATGACTGTGTACCCAGGTGTGTCGCTTTTCGACCAGGGTATACCCTGTTGTGTCGTTTTTCCAAAAAAAAATAAAGGAAAGCGAGAGCCCAGCCGCTTCTGTCACCCATAAGTGCCGGTTCGGAAAGACTTCGATATTGCGCCGCTTTCAACGTACTACAGAAGCATCCACCACCTTTTCCCGCTCTCACACAGCACGGGCACATCAGCACCCGTACGATTCTCCCGCTGTTGTGCATGTGCTGCGCGTGTGCAAGCTGGAAGACAGAAACTTAGGAGTCTCGGCGCTTCAAGACACGGATTCTCCAACAAAAGTGGGCTTACTATTTACAGCAGTACCATTTACTGAAAAGACTCCACCACATCCCGTTCGACTGTGGGTATATCTCGAATGGTTAGTCTTTCCGTGCGGTCGGCGCTCTCGCTTGGAATCCAATAAATCCAGTACAACATTGTTGGAGCAGGAGGCTATTGTTGGCTCACGAACGAAACATGTCTGCCGGCGTCCGATTCAAAAGGAGGCTACCCAACACTGCAAAACCAACCTCGCAGTTACCGCGCGTGATAATCAAACTCCTCTGAGTTCTATGGTGCCGGTGCAATGCCATCATCGTGCAAGCCCACATGTGATGATGGGGTTGCGGGAGATCCGCACGACCATCACTTGAACGTTGATGGCTGATTCTTGCAGCAGGTGTCAGACTCACTCGCGTGCGCCATCATGTTTCGGTCAAACATATCCGGCATAAGGCAGCCGCCAGGAAACTACCCACGCGTCGGGCCGGTGAGAACATGCTGAGAGAAAAGTGCAAGGTCTTACTTACGACGTTGAGTGTTGCTGTCCGCAACGTATCACGCACGGCCAACAGGAGGCGTGTACAGCAAGCAACACACGAACAACTGGCAGGGAGGTTTTTATCTCAGATCGAACGAGTACGTGCCCCTACGACTGCGCTGTCGTGCAAATGCGAAACAACACTTCTGACACGTAGCTTACCGCCATGCATGCCTTGTAGACAACAACAGCAGTGTGTGAGGTGGCTCGCTGTCGTCATAACCACATGCCACGTTTCATGGAACACCGCCGCCGTATTCGCAGACAGGGTGCACAAAATGGTTCGGACCGAGCATCATTCCAGGACCAATTTACCCGTCATGGGTAAGTGACCCGGTTGCCTGGGATACCCGTAAGGGCACACTAAAACGAGGCGTTTAGTGTCAGGATGCGGTCAGGATGCGATGTAGTGGATGTACTGAAACACGACACGATAACTATAGTAATCTGCACTTGTCGTGTCAGTTGGGGTTTGAGCTGGCGAAATGGTCGTACGACTTGTCCAACACGCGACTGGCTCGACACGTGTAGGTTGTGGTTTCATGCTGTGCGTGATTGCCGTCTTGTGAGCAAAGCTTCGCTTTCTATGTACCTACTCCATCGGAAGAAAACCCAGCGACGACTGCTCTCGCGTTGTTCCTCCTGCCCTTCTTCCATGTCTGACCCCCTACATCACAGACAAGCACTAAACAGCAGTGCAGCATCGACTCCGGCGGCAATATCTTCCTCCAGAACGAAGATGTGAGCACCGGCAACCAGGCAGGCGCAGCGACCGAAGAGGCCTTCGCGGGAACCCATCCATTGCCAGTCGGGCGTAGAAGCGACCAGCCAGCCGTCGTGGGACCTGTTCAACGCCAACGAGAGCACCACCAATTGGGCGGCATGCAACAAGGTCGTAGCGCCGAGAATAGTCACGGGTGCCGTACTTTTTCTCAACTCGATGCCCTTAGCAGTAGCACCACCACCGCAACCAACTGCGGGGGCACGCTGCAACACGTCGGGGGCATCCTCAGGTGTCGATCTGCAAGCGCGGACCCGCTCAGCTGGGCCAGCGGCGGCTACTGCGATGAGGGTGGCGACACACGACACCCCAGCATGGAATCCATAAGCAGGCCGACTCTACGGGCCTACTCGGCCCCGCACTTCCTTCACACCGCGTTGTTTCCCCCAAAGAGCTGCGCCCCGGCAGCCGGGAGAAGGGCTCCGGATACCGGCAGCAACACGGCCGCCGGCGGGAGCGAACGTAGCTGCGCGCGAGGTCGCGCTGGTGGCGTGGAGTGGGCAGACCGGGAGGCGCTAGAAGCGGCAACGGTAAAAGCGCCCTGCCAACACCACCCCCGGGGGGGCTACTTGCACAGGTACATGGGGTTTGAACAGGAGAAGGTGCTTTGCCCGCCGGTGGACACCTTCCGCTCCCTGGGCGGGCTGGGGGAGTTTCCGAGAAGAAGACGTCGGAGCAGCACGGCGCCAGGTGTCGGACAACCCCGGGGCAGGCTCAGGATGGTACCTCCTACGCACTTCGATGGCGGCGGCGGTTTCAAGCCAGAACATGCCGAGCCTGGAAGAAGAGGTCTTCTGGACAGCGATTGCCCCCTAGGCGTAGAAGACCCTTCGGAGCAGACCAGCGCGGAGGAAGAAAGAGGTTCACCGTACCCCTTGGAGTTGTTCGCCGAGGGCAGCAGTGTGGGGTCGGTCTCTTCTTCGGATGGAGAAGGGGGGGGGGATGGAGCTGCGGCTGCGGCAGCGCGCTGCAGCGAGAGCTCGAGACGCCCACGGGGCGCCAAGAGACAAAAGTCGTGGGCCACGGGTGCCCGCGACAAGTCCCGGTCGTCGAGAAAGATGAAGACTTGTGCCTTGCCTCCCGGCAGGAACACAGGCGACAGCAGTGCCCGCGCGGGGATTCGGAGGTGTGGGAGTGCCGGCGGCACTTCTTCCTCCCCGTACAGCAGCAGCATCAACAAGAGACCGAGCGTGTTCTTGCCTTATTCGTTGCAGCGTCCCGTGACTCAGGAGAGGAAGGCGTTCTTCTACACGAGCAGCTGAAACAGGGCCGTAAGCTTTAGGTTCTTTGGAGACATGTACGTTTCACCTCCCCCCAAGTTGTTTGTTGTGGCAGTTTGTCGAGAGCAATGGCAAAGCGGATGGTTGATTCGATCCGCGAGTAAGCCTTCCTGTCAGAGACTGAAGTTTCTCGGTGTGCGGGTGGGGAAGTGGAGTTGTTTCTGTCGTGTGTCTGGTGCTGAACGTATTAATCTACTCCCTACAGTTGGGGTCTTCAGTCGCATCCCTACAGTGTTGACGCATCAATCTACCTACGGTTAGCAGCGCAAAAGTTGTCGCTGGGGGATCGAAGAATTGCGCTGTGTGTGCAGTAAGACGCATGGTAGGAAGTGAGGCACCAGAAGCACAATTGCCTGCCCCTGACGTGAGAGCGCTCGTGTGGGCAAAGTTAGTGGCAACTGTGAAGCCCAGGCACAACCTGCATACTGCTGCCGCCGCGTACACTGCTGTTGATCTTGCGAGCGACCGTGGGATTGGCGCGGGCGTCCCCACGCTGTTGTATCCGTTGCTAGGTCCATACACATGCGTGTGTACAATGAATGATAGCTTGAAGTCGAAAGGCGAAACGAGTATAGCAGGCATACAAGAAGAAGCAAGTGGCTGGTGGAACGTAATGCGCAGGGAGAGGTGGATAATTTGCAAACTGGGCCATTGAGTCTGCACCAGTTCTTTTGGGGCGCATACCAGGGTAAAATTTTGTGCGACAGGCGAGGTTCGCGTGCAGAGACAGATGACAGCGCTTGTGGCAAAACCTAATCTCCATCACAGAGCATGATCTTCTGTATGCTGCGTCTCTTGCCTTTTCTTCTTGCCATTCCACAACATCTCAAGAGCACTCTCCCCACCCCCACCTCCTGGTGCTCACTCCTTTCTCAGCCACACCATGTTATCCACTGCATCCGATCTATTCAACACACCATCCATCCCAACTACAACTCCGTCATCCCCACTCTCAAAACGTATTGCCGCCCGCCTCCCCCCTGAACGTCATCTAGAACGTAGCTCCCTACAATGCTCCGTGTCGCTCCTTGCACGAATTC